ATAAAATTAAAATTACAAGTTCTAGAACATATTTTCGATGCACGTTACTGTTCTCATGTCGCTCATTAAATATTTCTGCTATTCTATTAGCGCACTGATTATTTCCGAAAAATGTTTCTATAATTTCAACTCTTTCTGCTGCGGAATATACCATGTTTAATTTATGTAATAAAGCGTTACAAGTTATTTTAGCAACAAAGTTTGGTGAAATCAGTCGCAAACTATGTACTAAATTCCTATTTAAAATAAGTACAAGATATTTCCTTATCTTTCTTCAAGAAATAACTTTTTCAACAACAAAATGATACACAAACCATGGGCGTAGTGAATAAAAACATTTACTTATTAAGTAATTTCTTTTAGTCAAATTTCTTCTGAAACTAGTACAGACTAATCTGATATACCTATTAAAGTCTACTTTAAGCTTTAAATCAGTAAATCTCCAAAACTACTGAACTGAAGCTCATGTATTTTACATGGTTATAAAGGGAATTGGAAGACCTTTAAAATAAGGTATTACTCGGCCCCCCTTTCCATCCATTTTAGGGTTGGTGTCACCCCGGCCCAGGGGGCTGCACGTGTTAACGTGATTTTTTGCCAAACTTGTGTCCCCCTCGAAAACAAAATCGACGGGTCTGAGCGTTTTTCCAAAAAAAAACTCAGCAGCCAGTAAATGCGTCTGTTTCGGTTTCGATGCGCGTATAATAAGCAAATATGATCGGACTTAGTTGCGAATGTACCACGTGATATACTAACATCAAACAGTGTCAGTTATAAATTGACATGTCAAGGATGTTTACTAAATGATAAATGAGCTTACTTCTTAAGATATAGCCTCATTCACCATTCAATAAATATCACTGACGGGAGGTCATGTTCAGAAACAAAAATTTACAATACCACTGCCTCCTAAAATACTTTGGGACCATGTTAATGGTTATTTGAAAGATGTTTTGGAACTTTAAGAACATTTAATTTTTCGTTTTTTTATTTATATTGTTTTTCCGGGTCGAAAATGTCATGTTTCGCAAATTCTTATAGTCGCTTACATTTCAAAAACTAGAGCCTTCACTAAAAATTGGAGACACTTAACCCTTTCGATACTAACGAGTTATATAGATCCCAGCAAAAATTCCTTCATCTAATTACGCATTATTATTAACAGTAAATGCACTCAGATTACTCAAAGGACATGTATGTCCCATACCGATGTTTTTAAATACTATTGGGTGCTATGTCAATTTTAAACGTATTGTGCATTGTCCCAGTCGTAAGGAGAGTTTTGTCTTAGATACTATTATAATTAAAAAATTAAATTAAATTATATTTTGAGGTTAGGCTGTATCATTATTCTGCAACTTGTAAACAAATGCACTTGTAACTGATCTCTGCTTGTGAGTTTTTGGCGTCAAATTCGTTGAAATGTGATTAAACAACATGAACAGGTAAGTAGAATGCATATTTATTTATAATTATCTAAAGAAATACATCGTATTTATATGGGTGGGACTTATATGTCCCAACACTAATGTATAGTCAGTGGTTAGTATAGTTAGTATAATAATCATATTATACCCATTTTTAAGGACATCACAATGCAGTCACCAACAAATCCCATTTGGAATATTTATGGTATTACAAATTGATATAATTTTGACTATAAACGTGACGTGACTATTTTAGCATAGGTCTCATTTAATCCTCTCATTTTTTAGAATGCAAGTACGATTTCCCTGATGATGAAATTCTTAGCTTAGAGCCTAATTTAGCATCGGATCTTGAGCAGATTGAGGTTAAGCCTAATCCCATCAGTAAGAAGAATATTCACTGAAGCAGTAGTGGATCTTCATTTATTCCTTCAAAGAATGTACCTACCGCGCATATTACACGTATTTTACATGCAGATATTACTAATAAATTATCTGAACTTGAGTGTTTTTTGAAATTAGTTCCCAGAAGTTTGTTTATTTTGATGGCTGAATGTACTAACGAAAGGCTTACAAGAGAAGACAAAAAAGCAATATCTTTCCACCGATTATCACGAAATGATGTTGGTAATTGGTTGTTATTTTGTCATGGCGTACAACAGAGTACCATTTTTGTCTAATTATTGGTCATCTAACAAATCACTTGGAAATTAGGCTATTAAAAATGCCAGATGTTTTCTTCTTACATCAAAAATGTATTACAACCATCCTAAAAAAAAAAAAATCAGACAAACTCTATTACATTCCTCTATTATGTCGTGTCTCAAACATACATTTCTAAAAGCTCAAGCTGACAGTAATTTTCAAAGTATAGATGAGTCAATGGTGAAATTTAAAGGTCGTTCCTCGCTGAAACAATATCTTCCATTAAAACCAATAAGAGATGTATTAAGATTTGGGAGAGATGCGATTCTGACACTGGATACGTATGTGATATGAACATATATGCTGGGAAAGACGAAGAGCAAAAAGAAGGAACATTAGGGGAAAGAGTGGTAAACAAGTTATGCAGCTCTATAAACGATCCAAACGTGATGTTGTGTTTTGATCGTGACTTTAATTGCTACTTTAGATTTTGCTGCTGTTGTATGTCAAATAAAAAAAAACCTGCCACAGTTTGATAAGAAAAAAGTGGGAAAAGGAGATTGCCAAACATTATCTAGTGATCAGGGTATTATCGCAAATCTATGGAAAGATTCTAAAGAGGCTTTGATTCTTGCAAACTGTCACAAAGACAAAATGGGATCTGTAGAAAGACGCCAAAAAGGCGGAACCAAAATTAACGTGCCCTCTCCGGAAGCTATAAAAGCATATAATTGATTTATGGGTGGTGTTGATCTTTCAGATCAAATGTCTAGCTTATACGAAATTGATCGGAAGTCTCAAAAATGGTGGAGAAAAACATTTTACAAGCTACTGTTAACATAAGCGTGATGTTCCGTTTATTACATTTCTAGTAAACCTAGCAGGTTTGATAAGCACAGGTCGGCAAAAAGCAGGTAGTGGTAGACCTTCAGGTTCATCAATAAATCTCGTAAACGTAGGAGAATCATTTGTCGTTTCTAGAAAAATCTCGTCGTAGATGTCATTTATGTACTTCTCGAAAAGATAAAAAAAGGACAAAAACTATGTGTTCAGGATGTAAGCTTCGCTTGTGCAATGACAATCCTTTCACAGTTAAATGTTAGAAGTTTACTATTTTCGTTCAAGTTACATTTTCAACTATAAGGTCCGACTTCACCAACATTAATATTATGGACCAATGGGAAAATACCTTATCGAAATGAAATTTGACAGAAGCTGTCAAAGGTCTCTGATTATTAGTGATTTCTATTGAAATATTGAATAAAATCGTGAAAATTAGACTGTATTATAAACAAGACCACTTTTTGATTCCAACATGATGCTTTTGTACAAAAAAAACAGGAAAACTTTAATGTATTTTGATATATGTTATAGGTTTACATTTAACAATCCGTTATCCCCCTCAGCGAATGGGAATGCGGCAAATAATAGGTCGATTTTCTAGCTGTTAAATTTGGCAGCAGATTTGGGCGTTTGTTAATGCATGGCACTCTCGAATTTACCAACTTCAATATACTGAAACTTATCATTAGATACCTGTTGGATTTGTCTGTATTTTGCAAGAAAATAGACTATAAAATATATTCCACCCAATTCCTCATCTTCCTTTACGTCATAATAGTAATCATTTATTAATTAATGGGTTAATGAGTTTCTTCAAAGCAATAAAAACATTATGTCCTCTCCATCCTAAAACACATATAATATGTGTAAGACGTGTCAATGCCTACATCTCCCTGATGCATAATCCTATTACTATGGATATAGACAAAAAATTATGAAAAATATTTCACAAATAATGTCTTTTAAGTCCAAAAATCATAAAAACTAGTAATGTTTATTGTTTGTCTTTTTGACTGGCAAGGATATCTATCTGTCACTTGCAGGGTTGCCAAGTCTAACGACGATCACGCCCCGTGGTGGAGGGTGCGAAATGAATCTTTTACATTTGCTGGTTTTGCATTTTGTACAATTTCTTTGAAAATGTTGAAAGGTATGTCTGATTTGGCAGGGTAATGTCGCAGCCAAATGGCAGTCACTCGTTCTGACACAGTCCGGATCGAAAGATGACGATACTCGTGAAATGAATTGATACTTCTAAATCGTATCGAATGTCCCTACTGTCAAGATGCATAACCCAAGGTACCGACGGAGCTATTTTGGGGCGTCATGGAAATAATTTTTTCAAGTGTTGTGCTATGGTTTTGGGAAAAATGTCACGAATAATCTTATAAAGCATAGTAGAGTATGTTTCAACAGTTAGCGAAACTTACTTCACAGGGACCAGGAGGGTGAAACGGGATATTAGTGCACAATCTGGCAACCCTGTCGCACCCTCACAAAATGGCCGCTGACAACCACATAAGTCACCGTGTTGTCATTGAATAGCATGGAATTAAACCTTCAGAGTATATGTTTTGTGACTGGTACCAAGGGTTGACAGGTCCCACACATGTGTCACTCCTTGAAATGCAATAATCAGCTGTATTCGAATAATGTCTAATATAAATATAACCTAGAATGTGTACTCGTGAAAAAAGAAAAATATGGCAAATTTGTAGTTTTTTGCAGGTCTTAGGTTTGCTGGTAGCTGTAAGGCATATATTTGGAATTTCTTAATCGCTGTGAATATAGTGTGGATGTTTGTTCAGTTCTTGAACAACGAAAAATATTCAACTTTATGGATGTATGGATATCAAAAGACCTGAATGGTTTTGTGGGAATATCAATCTAAGGTTCCATAATGGTTTTAATGAACGGCAAGTAAATGAATGAATGTTTGGAAACGAGCAATATCTTTTGCTAGAGCCTGTTATCAAGTAGGTGCTTAATGGCTCTCTGCAAGAGGTTTATAGGAAAAAAACACCCGGTATCGCATATCAATTGAAGAAAATAATATAAACATGTTTAAAAAATCAACAATAGTAATTAAAACATGAACTTTATTCAAAAATCCAACATTTCTTCAAATTTTGACTGAATCATATGTAATTTCTCAATATTAAATAAGCTGGTGATGTTTCAATGACAAGCTGTCATCTCATAGTTTGACAGTATTTTGTTTTGAACATTTCATAGCTATTGGTTGCTAAAATTTGTTGATTGGAACTTGAATCTCATTCGTTGTAGTTGACGGTCTGTTACCCTGCAGGTGGAGAATAACAGACTGTTGTTGGTAAAATTGGCCCTAAGTATTTTTGTTACTAGTGGGATATTTGTATCCATTTTTTCCGTACTGTTGGGACAAATGTATCCCATTTTGTATTTTTTTGTTTATTACTTAATAAAGAAAAAAATGTTTTCTATCTAAGTGACATATAAATCCGAACACCCAGTTTAAATGGTTTTATTTTAATAAAAGTTGGTGAATGTATTTATCTTACTGTAAATAACAAGTGAAAAAATGTTCAGCCTTATCAGTTGGACATTCCGGTTTTTATACTGCTTTTTTTTGATTCACTAATGCTCTAAAAATGAATATTTCAGCCGCAGTAAAGAATCAACGTTGGCGGATTTTGGTTTTTGACATCCTTTACGATCGGTTACGATGCCTAGAGTACGGAGACCTGTACGATTTCGTCAACTTAGTGAGTTTGATAGCGGCCGTATAGTGGGACTTCGGGAAGCTGGACTTTCTTTTCGGGCAATTGCAGTTAGAGTGCAAAGAAGTGTAGACACTGTGGTTAGGTGTTGTCAGGCATGGCTTCGAGAAGGCCGTACGCAAAGAGCAAGGGGCACTAGACGCCGCCGTAGAACAACAGACCGTGAAGATCGCCGCCTAAGATTATTGGCCTTAAGGGACCGTTTCTCCACTACCAGGTCCATTGCAAATGAATGGTTTGCAGAACACAGAAGACCTATTGGCATGCGAAGTGTTTACCGACGATTGAGAAGTTTTGGGTTTTTTTCATACCGGCCACACTGGGTCCTCCCTTTAACTCGAGAACACCGACGTAATCGCCTTGAGTGGTGCAGACAACGGTCACTCTGGGATCAGGAATGGAACAGTATTGTCTTTAGTGACGAGTCTAGATTTTGTTTAGGCATGCACGATGGTCGTGCCAGGGTTAGAAGGCGACGTGGTGAAAGGAGGAATCCACAGTTTTTTGTTGAAGGACATGTTCATCACACTGTTGGAGTTTTGGTTTGGGGTGATGTAGCTTATGGTTCCAGGTCACCTTTAATCTTCATCAGAGGTAACAGGAACGCGCAGCGTTATATCCACGAAGTTCTAGAACCACATCTTTTACCCTATCTTGACACCCTGGCAGATCCAACTTTCCAACAAGATAATGCCCGACCACTTGTTGCAAGAGTCACAATAGATTCTTTCAACATAATGATGTCACATTGTTACCATGGCCACCAAGATCTCCCGACTTATCCCCAATTGAGCACGTGTGGGATATGATGGGTAGGAGATTGCTCAATTTGCAACGTCCTCCTCAGACTCTAGAAGCACTTCGAGAGGAATTGGTGGTTGCCTGGAATGAGATACCACAGGAGGACATTGACCACCTGATCAGAAGCATGCCTAGGCGCGTTGGAGAATGCGTTGCACATCAGGGTGCGTCCACACATTATTAAAGGTCAAAGGGCTTTAAAGCAATGCAATCATTTTGAAATTTTTATCATTCACTTATTATGCTTCATTAAGTACTTATACAAAATTTTATTAAAATAAAACCATTTAAACTGGGTGTTCGGATTTATATGTCACTTAGTATATTTAATCCATTGATATTTGTTATGTAGATAGGGTACTTTGCACGTACACCAGAAAAAAAAGTCGTATTTTGAATGCCGATTTTTGCTGGGACTCATTCGTCCCAACCGTAAAATTACCTTCTTCTTTTTCAAAATAAAGTCGTGTTGAAAGGGATAAATGCAGCTCATAATAAATACTCATATTCATTTCTTAGTTCTCCTGCACTAAAATGACTGCTGGGCTGTGTCATCGATCTGGTTTATGCGTCACTACAAATTGGAAGAAAGTGAAAAACGCCGGCCGTGGGCTTAGCCGATACAAATCAACTGCTCCCAGTGTCCTTTAACCGTAAAGAGGGGGAACTTGCTGCGGTCAGATACTGCTGACGGAGGGCGGCAGATACTATCTGTCATCAGCAGTGACTTAGTGACCTCGTTTGTTTGGACCGAACAGATTTTAAAGCCATCCAAACCGCACACTGTAAAGGGGAAGACCGTACTAAGATGTCCCTCACAGATATTCAAGCCAGCGTTGAAATGTGTATTGCGCGATTTAGAATTATGAAGGGCGTTTCAATTTTCTGCTGACTGTGCATGCAATTATTAGTAATTGTTCGACAAAAATAAAATAATAATAATAATCGTCTTCATTTGAACTGTACAATTTCATACAGCTAAACAAGAGTTGCATATGGTGGCGAAGTTTAGCAACATGCTACTCTTACACTTAACCACCCATGCAAAAATAACAAGTTGATAAGTAGCAGATATCAAACAAAATATACATATATATATATATATATATATATATATATATACAGTTAATTGTTAATTGGGAAATTGGCAAATCTTTGACGATAAAATCAAGCTTTCGGCATTCTCTATGGAGCCTTCATCAGGATTCTGAAAACACAATTATGATGCTAGCAAAGAAAACAGGACAGATTTAAATTGTCAGACAACTTACTCGTCGGTGAAGTGCAGACACAAGGTATTTCAAACCGAACGTAGAGAAGATCGAACTTGTAATCAGTAATAAAAACATAAGGACGGGGACGTTGGGCTTGTTGAAAACCGACAGATACCTTCGTTACATGTTAAAAATACCAATCCACCCGAACAAGTTAAAAAGTATTACACGTGAGAAGACATTTTGTTGAAACAATCGGAATGCAGTCTCTAACCTTCTACTTCCGCTACACGTGGAGAGGGGGACGGCACGGAAAGGTAAAGCGTCGACAGATGACAAGTGATTGACGCGACGGACCGTGGAACTGTAAACCTCCCTGTCCAACTTTGGGTATGAAGTATACGAGGGACGCTCGGAAACCTTCACACAAAATTACTAAAATGCAGAATGAACTTGTTTTGGAGAAAAGTGTGTAGCTCATATGAGTGTAAGAATGTGTGATATTGATACAACCTTGAAAAGATGGGTTATGTGAGTTTATATTAAAAATGTGAGGGAGAAAATGTATTCTAATTTTGTGAAGATGTTGGTTCAATTTGGTTATGTAGCCGCTCTAGCTTTTCGCAATTCAACAGGTATAAACGAAGTATAATTTTTCATAGAACAGGTCACACATGCGATTGACGTCCTCCACGTTGTCCAGAAAAGACCAATCAATGGTAGGCAAGGCATTGTAAAGGCCAATAAAATTAGCTTTCCTGAAGCTGTACACACATCCGTGTCAAAATTAAGAGCGGCATTGAATTTAGTTTCACAAACTACAAATAGAGAAGGATGATGCAAATCTTCCTTGACTAACGGCAAATTATCATGCAGGTCATGTCAGTTATCACCAAATCCAACATCACTTGTCTAGCATTCAAAATAGTTAAATTATAAGTACATCCTCATACCTCACTCTAGTTCCTTTGAAGAATAAGTCAGACCGAGCCGATTAAACTTTCCGCAGTACTACTCTCCTTTTGAATCGTTAGCTCACCAGAGCTTTTCAAATCTAACGAGCTTAAGCGCGTCGTTTTTGTTATTTTAGCCGAAGGTGCCGTTATTATTTAAAGATAAGCGCTTTGAGAGCACCCGGCAAAGTCCTGTAAATGCGCATTTTAGGTAAGCAAGAGCCTCAGTACGAGGAAGTCGATAAGCCCTCAAATGTTAAGAGGCTTATTGCTTCAATTCCGCTGCCACCTATTTACGGATTATGTGATTCAACCGTACTTGAGCTGTCTCGTTAATGTAACATCATAGCAAGCCGTTCATCAGCAAATGTTATCGTTTGCTAGGTATGATATGTATCAAATTTCTTCGAAATAGGAAGAGTCAAATAAAAAATTCGTTTTAATGATGTTCTCTTAGCAAGCTAATTAGTTTGTCGTTTACATGTACACGATGATTCAGAAAAATGTAGAGTAGAAAAGTAGAAAAAATAACACGTAAACGCGCCAAAATGATTCTTATCGAAATGTAGTGCCTTAACCATACAAATTCGGATAGTGGGTGGAAATTTTATGCATATACGAGTATACCCCATTCGCAGTCCATTTATGTCTAGACAAAACACAACATGCCCAAAAGCGAGATTGTACAGGCCAGTATTTTTCTCAATGGTCTTGAAATAATCTAACGGAGTAAATTATTTTTATAGAAAGAAGTGCACAACATTTTTGACAATTCTTTATTCGCTGTATGTACTTGAAATATCATACGAATGGTTAATATTAATTATTACAGGTTCAATTTGAATATCGATTATATTGTCCAGTTCCCACATCTTTGTTTGGATTGTCTCTTGAACGTGACGGATGCAATCTTTCCAATGGTTTGCCGTCACTCTGGCAGCTCCATAAAAAAATTTGTCACGTGAGACTATATTTATATTAGTGCCACCTGACTAGACGAATGAGTACTGCTTTGACCGTATTTACGTTGAAACTAATTTTTTTTGATAGGTCTGCCTCTCTTGTGGACATTGTGGGAATTTTTACTAGTATTCTCGTGTGGCATGAAACATTATCAAGTATAATGTCGTCAAGCTTTGGCAGCATTCCCGTCCATTTCTTCATGGTAGTCGGTCGTTTTCTTTGACTCAAATGACCAACAGCCGTCGTGGCCCACCGGTGGGCACTCAACAAAAGGGATATTTTCGCCAAAATACGACATGAAAACTTTTATTCCAGGCAATTAGTAGCTAGTCAGTAACCATGTCGACCAGAAGTAGATATATATTCGCTTTGGCTGCACAGGCATCTGGGGATCCAGCTCCATCCTCCTTTGAACAATCATCGCCTCTCATAATTCGTGCATTACCCCCACAAGATCCTGCACCACCGCCTCGTCAGGCTTATACATCTGCCCGCCCTCAGGCCCAAACATCACCCCCGTCAGGCTTTGATATCACCTCCGCGTCAAGATTATGGTGTCATTCCCCCTCAAGCTTTGATATCACCTCCCCTCCAGCTTCAACATCACTGTTTCAGCAATCGCAATGAGATCCAGACATACCACTGTTCTTCTTCGGAATCCGAACCTTTTCACGATTCCGGCGATTCCTACAAGCCCTCAGAATCCGACAGTGAGAGTGTCAGAAGTAGCTTAGCCGGCGATGATGGAATTTAAAACCAGTCCTCATCGGACGAAAATGAAACGCCCGCTGTACCCGGTGGAGCTGACGTTTGGGACCCTTATAAAGACATACTAAGGAACTTTCAATTTTCTGAACAACATGGCTTGAAAGAAGACCATTTCAACCTTATGACGTATATCAGTTTTTGACCAATGAGGTTTTGTACAAAATAGTTGTGAAGACAAAAAGATATGCCTCCCACCTGATACAAAATAAATAACTTCCCCGTCGATCCTTGTTGCACAAGTGGACTAATACCAATAAAGCAGAGATTAAACGATTTATTGCAGTGTTAATGATAACGGGTATCAACAAGCTACCCCAGATGCGTTTGTACTGGTCCAGTTATGACATGTACAGTAACGAACGAGTAAAAACGACAATGAATCAGAACAGACTTGACCTGCTTTTAAGATATCTTCATTTTTCGGACAACTCCGACCCTAAAGCTGGGACTGACAGGCCTTTCAAGATAAGGGATGTCATTGAACTGTGTTGTAAACAGTTTCAGGACACATCGGAGCCAACTGAAGAACTGGACGAGAGCATGGTGGACCTTTGAAGATGTAGACTGCTCTTCAGACAATACCTTCCAGCAAAGTCACACAAATATGGAGTCGCGATTTACAAAATTTGCACACCTGAAGGCTAGGCTTATGACGTGACAGTTTATGCAGGAAAAAATGATCCTACTGGTACTTCTGCAGAACACACATGGACACAGTTACAACGTGTGCATGGAATTACTGGAAAAAGTAGTAAACAGCGGCAGAATCGTATATATGGACAACTTTTAAATTGGGCAAAGATCTTCTAGAACGCCAAACATACATCTGTGGGACTTTGCAAAGTAACAGAAGGGGTAATCCACGGGACGTTTGCTCGAGAAAACTTAAAATAGGAGAAGTATGTTCAGCGTACAGAACAACGACGGTATTCGAGTTACAAAATTGCTTGATAAACGCCCTTTATTAATGATAAGTTCGGTACCTACCCATACCAACCAGTTAGTGGCAACACAAATGAAATGATGTAATCGAACCATCTGCCGTTATTGCATACAATAAAGATAAAAAGGGTGTAGACATATCGGATCAGATGTCGTCGTATTAACAACCCATGGAAAAGCAATAAATGGTATAAAAAGGTTGCATTCGAGATTCTGCTAGGAACAAGCGTTGCGTACTCTTTAGTTGTTTATAACTGCTATAGTAACGGCAAAAATAGATAAATTGATATGCTTGCTTGACGGGAGAAAGCAATAGAAGACGCGTGGAAAGAGCAGTCACCGGATTGGAAAATATGAAGGCACAGCTAGGAGTATCAGAAAACGTTGCTCGGTATGTTATAAGAGAATTCAGAAGGAGAAAGGAGGTAAAGAAGCAAGAGTGGGAGCGTCAAAAGTTTCAACATTTTGTGAAGATTGCGATGAAGATCCAACCATGTGCATTCCTTGTTTCAAAAGTGTCCATCAATAATTTTTATATATTTTCTTAGGTTGTAATTTTTTTTTATTTCCATCATGGTCTGTTATAGGATATACCGTTTAATGCATTTACGTAGGGAATGAAAAGATTTTTAGTTTATAGTACCTTATTTAAGTTTTGAAAAAGTTTATTTTTTGGTTGGTATTTAGTTTCTTGTTGTTTTTCGAGCAACTTTGTAATAACTTACACTATATTATACACTCGCATTACAAATAAAATGTTATAAATAATCAAGATTTTTGTTCGTTATTGACTGAATAGAATTACAAAAAGGTGTATTAATTTTGCTTAATAGCCTAAATTGACAACCGCGCTGTACAGAGTAATGTTGACTTGTTCGTTAGCCGTAGATACAATACCAGCATCCTCTAAATGAAACGTAGAATTTTAAAAGCTTTAAAACCTGCCATAAAGCGTGACACACCGGTGGGTCACTGACGCTCGCTAGAAAGTGATTGAAGTTCCGAATTATATAAAAAACATTCTGTGGAGTACGACGGCCTATCCGTACAAACATTTGTTATCATCAAGGACGCTATAGCTGAACACTAGGTCTACCTTATTTTCTCCAACTTGATATTATTGTTCCTATGCGATATAGAAAACTTTACGTAAATTTATCTACTCTAGAATAGATAGAGAGAAAGAATAATCAGCCAACCCGAATGTACACCCCTCGTGTGCCCGACTGCCAGAGTATGTAGTAAGCATATGTATGATTGCTATGGGGCATGAAACTAAAGAGACTACATAAGATTCACCTTCAGCTTTGTTTTTGGTTGCAACTATTTTTAGGCAAAAAATCTGGAAAAATATTTTAATTGTTTTGAAAAATCTTCTGTAAATGTTTCGGTAAAAATACCGGAGAATCAGGTTGAAGTCCAAGCTTTAACATGCATAGACATTCTGATATATGAATTTTTATTACGTTTTGGGTTTTTGTACAGATTATGGACGTAAGGGATATAGAAAGTAGTAACAATTTGTAGAGACGCAAATTTGGTTACAATAAGAACACCACCACCCTTGCCGCTTTGTTTGTAATTGCACTTACAGTGTGAATAATTATTAACATCAACCTTAGCTATTTTGCCTCAAGTTCTATGTAAATATACTAAGTGACATATAAATCCGAACACCCAGTTTAAATGGTTTTATTTTAATAAAATTTTGTATAAGTACTTAATGAAGCATAATAAGTAAATGATAAACATTTCAAAATGATTGCACTGCTTTAAAGCCCTTTGACCTTTAATAATGTGTGGATGCACCCTGATGTGCTATGCATCCTCCAACGCGCCTAGGCATGCTTCTGATGAGGTGGTCAATATCCTCCTGTGGTATCTCATTCCAGGCAACCACCAACTCCTCTCGACGTGCTTCTAGAGTCTGAGGAGGACGTTGCAAATTGAGCAATCTCCTACCCATCATATCCCACACGTGCTCAATTGGGGATAAGTCTGGAGATCTTGGTGGCCATGGTAACAATGTGACATCATTATGTTGAAAGAAGTCTCTTGTGACTCTTGCAATATGTGGTCGGGCATTATCTTGGAAAGTTGGATCTGCCAGGGTGTCAAGATAGGGTAAAAGATGGGGTTCTAGAACTTCGTGGATATAACGCTGCGCGTTCATGTTACCTCTGATGAAATGTGACCTGGAACCATAAGCTATAGCACCCCAAACCATAACTCCAACAGTGTGATGAACATGTCTTTCAACAAAAAACTGTGGATTCCTCCTTTCACCACGTCGCCTTCTAACCCTGGCACGACCATCGTGCATGCCTAAACAAAATCGAGACTCGTCACTAAAGACAATACTGTTCCATTCCTGATCCCAGAGTGACCGTTGTCTGCACCACTCAAGGCGATTACGTCGGTGTTCTCGAGTTAAAGGGAGGACCCAGTGTGGCCGGTATGAAAACAAGCCAAAACTTCTCATTCGTCGGTAAACACTTCGCATGCTAATAGGTCTTCCGTGTTCTGCAAACCATTCATTTGCAATGGACCTGGTAATGGAGAAACGGTCCCTTAAGGCCATTAATCTTAGGCGGCGATCTTCACGGTCTGTTGTTCTACGGCGGCGTCCAGTGCCGCTTGCTCTTTGCGTGCGGCCTTCTCGAAGCCATGCCTGACAACACCTAACCACAGTGTCTATCTACACTTCTTTGCACTCTAACTGCAATTGCCCGAAAAGAAAGTCCAGCTTCCCGAAGTCCCACTATACGGCCCCTATCAAACTCACTAAGTTGACGAAATCGTACAGGTCTCCGTACTCTAGGCATCGTAACCGATCGTAAAGGATGTCAAGGACCAAAATCCGCCAACGTTGATTCTTTACTGCGGCTGAAATGTTCATTTTTAGAGCGTTAGTGAATTAAAAAAAAGCAGTATAAAAACCGGAATGTCCAACTGATAAGGCTAAAAATTTTTTCACTTGTTATTCACAGTAAGATAAATACATTCACCAATTTTTATTAAAATAAAACCATTTAAACTGGGTGTTCGGATTTATATGTCACTTAGTATACATTCATGTTCGTCAATATTTCATTTGTAGCTTCTATTTTTCATGAGATTCTAGCAAAACGTTAAATACTAAAGACATTTTCATTTGCATTTGTTCAAGTGTTTTGCAACGATTTCGGGAAAAAAAGGGAAGGCCTTATATACGTAAAGCATAGGAAAGTGTATTTCAACAGTTGCCTGGATTTGCTCTCCTGGGACTAAGCCGGCAATCGTATTTAAAAGACAGATTATCTAATTAACCGGTTATTTTTGCCCATCCCCAGTTTATTGTTTCAATTCAACTAATATTATAACCTAGAACGTGTACTCCGTGAATAAAGAAAATTATTGCAAATTCTAGGTTTTGCAGGTTTAAGGTTGCTGGCGCTTAAAGTACAGCGTGGATGTTTGTGAGTTTCAGGGCGTATGGATATCAAAGATCTTTAATCGTTTTGTAGGAATATCAATATAAGATGCCCATAATGGTACTGATGGATGGCAAGTAAATGAATGACTGGAAACGAGCATTATTTATGAAATTTTTGGTAGAAACTCTTTGTCATTAAGTAAGTGTTTAATGGCTATCTGCAAGAGGTTTATAGGAAGTCTTATTTAAAAATGTGTTATTTTTTCAAAATTCTCTCGGACTGTTACCCCATTGGTGGAAAATAACGGCTTGTTGATTTGAAAGTCTTGGTGAAATCCACCCGTAGCCTGTATCTTCTTATTCTTAGACAAATGATCACCCGTTGAATGTCAGTGCATTTCTTCCTCATGCGGTAGTGATTTTGCTTTCGCTTAAGAATCATTTCTTTTGTTTAAAATCCTCGTTCTGCTGTACGACGCTGACTCAAGACACGATATCGTAAAGTCGTAAATATCGACATAGGCGTCTATAAGAACATACGTTTCCTGTAGAAACAGAGCAACTGGAATAGTGTCTGCAGTGGAAATCGGGGTTATATCCCAGACAACTTTGTGGAAACTTTCCAGAAGGTATTCAATTTAATTTGGAGGAAAACATAAAACTTGAACGCCGGTATATGGAATATCTTCGCTTAACAACCTCCCTCGCATTCAATTTCGGTTTAAATAACTTTCTTGTTTCCATTCCGTCCAGAGGTTTGCAAGTATAAAAAACGTAGAATGACTATAGTAACAGTTATGGTTATCTGCCTTTTTTGATGGACGAAAGGATCATGTTTATTTTATTGAATGCATGTAGGCCATATCTTATTTACAGTCACAATCTTCAGTTGTCGACTTAGCTATTAAAAGTGAACTGATACTCTAACAGTTATGTTGTGCTAACCTATGTAAATCAAGGCCAATAACGCCCATAAAAGTATTTCAAAAGCTGTCTTAATACACACTAACGTTTCGGCTATCTCGGAGGCCTTTTTCAAAGTAAAAATGAAAATGACACAGTCAGTATATACTAAGTGACATATAAATCCGAACACCCAGTTTAAATGGTTTTATTTTAATACAAGTTGGTGAATGTATTTATCTTATTGTAAATAACAAGTGAAAAAATGTTCAGCCTTATGAGTTGGACATTCCGG